GACATTAAAAATCGGTTAAGGAATCAATCGACTTACAATGGAAAATTTGGATGCGTTGATGATAGTGAACTTACATAACAAAATCTTAGGATTGTTGACTTTTGAGAAGATTCGTATGGAAATGTTCAACTTAAGCCCCCCATTAAAGAAAAAAATATCATTTTGATTGTTTGAAATCATCTTTGAAATAAAAAACAAGATGAGAGTTATTTTTAAATTTTCCATTCTGCGTTTTCATTCAGCATTTTATTGTTTTTTCACTGTCATTATTATATTATTAGATCACATCTATGTGTGGGGATGTGCCCCATAAATCCATCAACGTATGGGCCGCTAGACTGAAATTTCCCGGCCCACTGCCAAAAGTTCCTCCAACCCTGTTCTTAGCACCCCTGACCTGTGTCTTGTAACAACCGCTACCTTGGTTGGAGACTTGCAGGTCGCCGGAGACTTGGGGCCGTTTCAAGTTTCTTCTTATCATATGAAGGTAGTGTAGGGTTAAAACGCCAGAGGCTTCCTACTGCTGCGGGTTGGCGAGTGTTAATTTCAGCGCTTTTGTCATAAAGAACAGACGCTCTTTGTAGCCGCTCATTTAAGATCAGACGCTACGTGGAAATCTTCTACGCACACTAGTGTGGAGAAAATCCTTATCAGACTGAGTAGTGCTGGATACCAGGTCATAGGTTATGCGGAATACCTAGCCATTATAACCAAGGTCAAACATCAAGCCGTAATAACAAGCCGAATGCAAAATGCTCTAAACATCGTTAAAAATTGGAGCAAAGGCGAGGGATTATCCCCAACCCCAAGCAAAACAATTCTTGTCCCATTCACAAGAAGAAAAAAGCTAAATTTGAAAGCCCTCACCCTTAACGGTACAACACTAACATTTTCCAACGAAAAGGGTCAGCCTGGAGCCAAACTAACGGAAGGAACTGGACTGGGCATTTCTGGCCCGAACTTTGAGCTCTCCAAGGCATTGGGCAAACATCTTACAATATTTCAAGCGAAACTGCTTGCTGTAAACATATGTGCACAAAAGTGTCTCAACCAAAGCCTCAAAGGATACTATCAGATAGCCAAGCTGCCTTAAAAGCCCTAAGAGCTTACAAATGCACCTCAAAACAAGCATATTTATCCCAGGCAGAAACACCGCAAAAGAAAACGGAAAGAAAAAACAAGAACACAATATTGTGCCTGAGAAATACAACGTAAAATCTCTAGAAGAGCAAAGCGTGAAGGGGTTGTACATGAAGAAATTAGATCAAAAATTACAAAGTAGTATGAACTTCCAATATGTACCTTGAAATGCATCACCACTATATCAAAGAGAATATTTACAATGCAGCATTTGAAACCCTAGGCAAATTACGAAAAAAATGGGAGAAGGGCGAAGGCCTCCACCTTATTGGTGGGATCAAGAAATAGAGATAGACATAGCAGATTAAAGGAAGAAATACCAACAGTATCTAAGTTCAAATAAGACACGAGGCAAAGAAATATAATAAAGAAGCACAAGTAAGAGTACGAAATAAAATAGTACAGAAAAAAAACGAATCATGGAAAAAAAGCTGTTAGTCTAGGAGCTAGCCCATGTCACGTGTGCAGTTATATGTCCCCTAAGTTTTTGAGCGGGGCTTCATTGAGCATATATTGGAGCTTCAAAAAACATTGTTCACATGATCCAGATCATGGTCGTTTGGTCGTCATATTTGAAAATGGCCGCCATGTTGCTAGATTTTTTGTTTGACTATATCTTCGTACACAGTGCTCCGATTTTTAATTTTCAAAGTTCATTCTATTGCTTTTTTAAAGGCAAGAAAATCTTGTAGTTAAAAATTTTTTGGTAGATTCAATAGTTATTGAGATACAACGATTCTGTCACTACATCTGTTCCCATTTATCTTCGTGGCGTAGTTAAAGATGGTCAGCCAAGATGTTTAACTATAAAGAATGTAAAGAATGACAATTGGAGAAGAAGATACGTTGAAATCTGATCATGAAGAAGCAGATGACAGAATCCTAACCCATATTTCTCACATAACACCGACTTCAAAAATAAATAACGTGCACACATGTGGTTATTTGTTCCACCGATACTGATGTTTTTGTTACTGCACTCTATCACTACCAGCAGAAGTGGAAAAGGGTAGGACTTAGGACGTGTATGATAAGTTTCACGTTGCCTTTCAAGTAGAGAAAACATTGCGGTACATTCCACTTCACTCCTTTGATGGCAGAGTACCAACCACTTATTGTTTTAACAGCTTAACGTTGTATTCATTCTTCAACCGGCTGCGATACTACAAGCAAAGTTACTACTACGTTATTGACAGCTATAAAGTAGCAGAATCGTGTGACAAAGATCTCTTTTTAGAATTTGACATGATGGAGAGAAAGGCAGGAAAATTTTGGAATTGCATTTCCATCAGTTTCATCATAAAAAATTACAAAAACCATCAAGATTTGGCCCCTACTTCAGAATCAATCCGTATATAAAACAGAGCTATTTACAATTCTACAAATAGATTTATGCTCCAGAACCGTTTGAAAAACTTAATCCGTTGTGACAGACGATCCGAGGGATCCTGAAGGTTTTCTTGAGTCATGTAATTGCTAGACGTGCTTCAGACAAACGGTATGTCCCTGTAGAAGATTGGAAATAATGTGTTTTGACTTTTCTACATGAAGAAGTAGTGTTTTGGACAAATGCAGAATCCTCATAAATAAGTAGCATTTTACATTACATTTTCAATATTCAGTTTAATTTGAAAAAGTATACTTTTCGCACCTACTTGGCTTGGTAAATACATTTTCACATTTAAGACCAGTTTATTTATCTTCAAATAAACTTGCTGGTAACTATCTGCAAGATAAATTTACCGTTCTATAATTCTATTAATCGGCGCATACCTGACAATTTGTCAGAAGGTGGATAAATTGGTCCTTAATCAAATTTTTACTTGCGTTTGAAAATACACTATAATGATTCTGTTTTTCAAAATTAAGCTATATTTCAAAAACTACAACCTTTTGCAAAAAAGTGTTCTTATAAAATTTGTTCGCCTTTTAGAAATGAGCAAAACGTTCTTTGAAAAATTGAAATCTGAGCACTGAGTAATAAGGAGATATAGTCAAATAAAAAATCCAGCAATATGGGGGCCATTTTTAAATATGGCGACCAAATGACCATGATCTGAACCATGTGACTAATGATTTTTGAAGCTCCTATAGGTGTCTAATAGAGCCCCGCTTAGAAACTTAGGGGACATATAACTGCACACGTGACACGAGGTAGCGCCCGCACTATGTGCTCCATAATAATATTTATCTGGGAGGTAAAAGAAACACAGAAAGCTGGAGATTACTAAAAAAACATGAGGAAAACAAAAAAAGGACAATATCAATACGCAATAACAGGAAAGAGTACTTTGAAGAATTACCTACTAACAGAACGGGCAGAGTTATGCAAGAAGAAGTTAAAAATCACTGTAGCTTCTTGAAAAATGATAGAACACCAGGCCCAATGGGAAAGACCAATATCAACTTAGAACTAATAAAGGCAGTAAAAACTCTCTATAGTGCTGCAAAGACCAATATTAAACAGGCAAGCATAATCAGTAAGGGCTTTACAGCAATCCCAAACTGTTGCTTTAACCCTCCTTTGGGTAAATTGAAAATTTAACCTTTTTTCAAAAAAAATCTTGTGTTCTACTATTATGATCAGTAAACATTTCAAAATTTATATTGTTTTTTTTTTTTCATTTTTATATTATTTTAAATTTTAATGTTCTGATGTAAACGCACTCAAAGCTAGCCATTTCTATTGTTGACTTGATTAGTCATAAATAGCGCATTGTAGCAACTGAATCGGGTTTATACCGACATCTTTTCATTGAAATCCAAAAAAAAAATCCGAATTTCTCCTGACAAGATTAAGAAAAGGTGGCCCAAACACGAAAACTCGTATTTCAAATTTTGAAATGGCATTTTGATGAGCAAGAAATTGCGTAACTTTGCCCCAAGTTCACCAACCCTGTATCCCTTATGGTTATCGAGATTCCCATATTTACTCACGAAATTGTAACACCCTGTTGTTGCCGAAGCCAATTTTCAATAAATGTCTGTAAATATAATTTCATAAACATTTCAAAAATGCTGATTCGAAGCTGGAGTTGAAAAAATCTCACGTTTCAGCAAAATATTAAATCAACATCACAGAGAGTAGCTTTGTTTCCACCACGAGTTTCAAATTTCGCTCTTTCATCCAATTATTATATTTTTTATCTTACTGAATGTATGAAAAATGCATTTTAGAATCCAACTTTGCGAAACTTCAGAGCCGTTCATTGAAAATTAATTAAATCAGCATATCATTGTTACATTATTTTAGTGAAATTTTGCAATTCTAATTAGCTAGATTGCGTCAAAATACTTATTAATAAATCAATGAATGCGTAAAATAATACCTACAATTTTAATATGTTTGGTTAATAATTTCTGAACAATTCCCAATTTTTCATGCTTATGTGAGCATGTTCAATGTTGAAAGAGTCCTAGATCTCCATCGCCACATTATTCCTTAGTTAATTTTGTATAATTTTCTCAATAAAACCTATAGACTTTGATAAAACTTTCCTACTGATAAATACTTCAATACAATCTGGCATGTTCTATCAAAGAAGCCACATTTAGAAGGCAATCGATGTGGCATGCGAAATCCTAGAGCTGGGTTTAATTCCCCGTTATAAATCATTATAATTTTCCACTATACTTCACACGGAATAATTGCCCAATTGCTGTCTGCCATGAAGGCTTTGCTTTCATCTTTTTAAATCGCGTGCTCAATCTCGATTTAACAAACACTTTTAACTACGCTTTTGATATTTTCCAAGTATGAATCATTTAATTTTAAATATTGAGAAGAAAAATATTTTTTTTCCAACAATCAATTTATTGTTCTTATTATATTTATTTAAAGTTTTTCTTTCTTGTTGCAGGGGCTTTGGCAAACAAGGTTACCAATGTCAAGGTAAGCATAATATTGTAATACTTTAAAGTGAAAAAAATATGTTTGTTGATTTTCTATTTTGTCATGTCATATGTTAAATATTCCATTTAAAAATCGCACGCAACATTTTCATTAAAATATCATTTTAAGTGTCACAAACAAAACAGTGTTATTCAAATAGCAAATTAACTTTTTATAGAGGCCTTTCGGTGTCGTGCTTTAAATTTTTTAAAAAATCTCTTTAAAAAGCACATTTTAATAAATAAGGAAGTCATTGAGCGAAAGAGTTTATGTTGCAGAGAATCCGTTTTAAAATACTTTGTTACTTTCGGAAAAAAGCTCCCTCTAAAGAGCTCTTTTGTTGTTTGGGGTGTCAAGTTCAAAGTGCCTCTATCGCATACGTTTTTATTTTTAACGTAACAAAATAAACTTTAACATTTTGCTTGGAATCTATAAAAAGTATAATGTTGTAGTTCAAAGAGACGAAAATTGATTTTATAAAATTGAATAGGTATATCAAGTATTATGAATTGCATTTTTACTGAGAGAATAATTTCGAGATTTTATGCAATATGACAATAATTTTAATTTTATTTTTCTCCTGCTGAAATTATTTGTCCACAATAACAATGGACTGGTCATATAGATTTAAAAAATATATATATATAAAAGAATTAAGAAAATTAATTACGAGATATACAGGGTGTCACGAAAGGTTTGTTACAAACTTCTAGGGATGGTAGATCTCGTAAAAATAAAGCTTTTTTCTGCGATTGACAAGAAATGTCAGCATTTTTGACCAGTTGACAGGTCGCAAAACTCAATATTCTGGTATTTCAATTATGTTTCCATAGTTGCTAAGAAATCAATGAATAACAATACGGGAAACACTTTTCCGGCCTAGGCCGGGAAAGTGATTCTCGTACTGCTGAATAATTGGAACTAAAAGACGAACATTTAACAGGTATTTAACCGATCCCAGAAAAAATAGTATGTGTATTTCGGTGGAAAAGCCCATTCTCGACCTTCGGTGTTTGCCGGCCTCGGCTACGCCTCGCCCGTCAACTTACACCGTCGGCCGAGAATGTGTCACTTTTCCACCTAATTACACAATATACTATTTTCTTAATAAACATGTGTCCGGAAATGCTTCGTTTTCCAGATACATAGGGTGTCCCACGGTGGATGGCGTATTAGACGTTAATGGAAAACTGAAGAGCGGATCATTTTGAAAATTTGGCAACCAAGATAAACAACCGACACTTTAAAAATACTTTTGTTTATGCGGTGTTGCCGCTTCTACTCTTAACCAGTGGCAACATCGCTATTTTAAATGAAACACCCTGTATGTGATTGCATATTTGGATTCTACGTAAAGTTCTGAGCAGATTTCATGTGATATACTCTATACCTAAGTTCAACTGTTTTGGAAATATTGACAGTTGAAAATTGACTTTTTGCAACTTTGACAGGCTGTAAAACCTGAACGGTTGATTTTAGAGGAAAACCGATTTTACATTCCTATGTTAGATTATTTTTATAAACTATCATTTGACACCAACTTTGAATTTAATCGGAGATTAAATTTACTTGGAATTTTTAATCATGGATTAAATTCAAAGTTGGTGTCAAATGATAGTTTATAAAAATCTAAGACAGGAATGTGAAATCGGTTTTCCTCTAAAATTAACCGTTCAGGTTTTACAGCCTGTCAAAGTTGCAAAAAGTCAATTTTCAATTGTCAATATTTCCAAAACAGTTGAACTTAGGTATAGGGTGTATCACATGAAATCTGCTCAGAATTTTACGTAGAATCAGGGCCCGCTCTAGCTTTTCGGCCATCCTGGGCGAAAGAAGGAATTGCCGCCCCAGAAATTGATTTGGAGGTGAAGTGGAAGGGGGTTATTCAGTGGCGACCCGTGACTTTTATCTTAAGGGAGGCAGCCTTAAAAAAATATAGCGTCGTCGTAGGTAAATTTTTAATTTTTTGGCGGAAAGGAGGGGGGTTGGTAAAGCCCACTGCAGGCGCCGCCGGAGAAAGAACATTTTTTCAAGTGCCACGCCCAAAAACATTTATCTATTTTAGTGTACGTGCACACTAGCGACCTAGCCCAGTGATGCCCTGCTATGCGAGAAAGGCGAAAAATACAATTCTGCGATTTTAAGTAGTTCCTACTTAACGCTTGTCCGAGCGGGTCCTAACGAAGACGATCGGAGCAGAGCGATGAAAGGCGAAATAGTTTGTAATTTGACGCGGATTGGGTTGCGTTTTTGAAAATGGACGTGGAAAAATTTACACAAGATGTTTATTTACGAACACCAATATGGAATCACCAATAGTTCTTCTTACCACAACACAACCGTGATCTAATTGCGAAATTATGACAAGAAGTTTTAATCTCGTATGACCAGCGCCTTCTTCTTCTTCTGTTCCACAACCGTTTTACGATCAACGAATTTTCTAATAGTAACAACAAACACGTTACGTCCGTTTTAAAATTACGCACAGTGTTTCCTTGTTACACACATTGAAGGACTAATTAGGAGCTAGAAAAACAATCGCAAGAGACTCAAGATAGTTTCAATCTTTGTATATGCACACCGAGATGCACACTTTCTCGCATGACTAGTACTCCCTAGTTAGAGGTCTCGCGGCCTTAGGTCTGTTCGCAGAGAAATCACTAACCCAGTCAGAGTGAATTTCATTGGTTGAAACTAGTTTTCTAAATGTTTCTCTGACTGTTTTCAACCAATGAAATTCGCTCTAACTGGTTTGTGATTTCTGCGCGAACAGTTTTATTTATTTATTTATTTATTTACTTGTTTTGTTTTATCGATATAAATGCCACCCCAAATTTCGCCGCTCCGGGCAAATGCCCGGATTGCCCCCCCCCCCTTAAAGCGGGCCCTGCGTAGAATCCAAATATGCAATCACATACAGGGTGTTTCATTTAAAATAGCGATGTTGCCACTGGTTGAGAGTAGAAGCGGCAACACCGCATAAACAAAAATATTTTTAAAGTGTAGATTATGGTCGTTTATCCCGGTTGCCAAATTTTCGAAATGATCTGCTTTTTAGTTCTCCATAAACGTCTGATACGCCATCCACCGTGGGGCACCCTATATACAGGGTGTCAAACTTTGTGAAAAAAATCAATTTTTACATTGATTCTCAGAAGTGCGAGCGTTTTAGAAAAAAAGTTTTTTGTTTATTTTTAAGCAACAAATAGCCTGGTAAAATTTCAGGTAATTCTGTGCCAATTTATTTTTTATTTATGGAGGTCAGTGCCGTTCGTGGTTAGCCTAAAATGGTTTTTAAATTTTATCTCGAAAACTAAGCAGCATACGGAAAAAAATAGGGAGATAAAAAAGTTGTATCTTTAAATGTTCTATTGAAAAAACATATCTTAATTGAAAATAAATCAATCAATCAATCAATCAAAATATACTTTATTGTCGGAAAATAAATTTCATTGACAAAGCATGATCTTAAATAATTAATGTGCAAGTAATTAAAAATTATTGGGTTATAAAAAAAAGAGGTACAATCAATAAAATAAAAAATAAACATAAACATAAATGTCAAAGCACAATCCTAAGCAACACATGTACAATTTTTACTACATCAAACTATAGAGTCATATAGAAGGTACAGCCAAACAGAGAAAAAACATAAAGGTTGCGGTCAGAACAAAACAAAACAATGAAACAAACAAAATTAAAATTTTTCATTTAAAAATTCACTAATATAAGCCTACTCATATTCCATGTAAAAATGTTTTGAGCTCAAGTCTAAACTTTTTAAAACCACCTATCTGCCTTAAGTTAACAGGCAGATGATTAAAAATTTGCCTACTTTTATAAATTAGTGAATTTTGCGTCAATGCAGTCTTGGGTATAGGAAGCTGAATTTTAAGAAGTTGCCTAGTTGGATAAGTTCTTGGATATTCTAACTCATCATAATGTTGTTTGTGCATAAGGCAAGCAGTTTCCATGATAAATATACAGCATACTGTAAGTATTTTATGTTTCAAAAATAGTGGCTTGCAATGCTCCCAACATCCAACCTTACACAAATAGCGCACTGCTCTCTTTTGAATGACAAAAACAGAATCAAACAATTTATTAGAACAGTTACCCCAAAATGCAATGCCATACCTGATATGAGATTCAACCAACGAGAAATAAACCAACTTAGCAGTATTCAAACCAAGTTCATTTGACGCTATTCTTACAGCATAGCAACCACTTGCCAATCGTTTGTTTAGATTTGTAACGTGCTCATTAAACTTAAGTTGAGTATCAACATGAATACCAAGAAATTTACAGCTAGTTTTATTTTCAATTGTGTGTGTGTCTAATAATAAATCATCAAAAAAAAATTTAAATGTCAATATGTTGGTTTTCTTAGAGTTAAAACAAAGCAAGTTAGAGTCACACCAGCTCTTTACAAGATTTAGGTCTTCAGAAATAATCTTTTTCAACTCTTCAATATTTTTTCCGTTCCAGGACAGAGTAATGTCATCAGCGAATGATGTTATTTTAGCGCTAATGGGGAGGTGATTAATATCATTTAAATAAAGTAAAAACAATATTGGTCCCAACACAGATCCTTGTGGAACACCATTGGTCACAGCCAAGTTTGATGACTGAGTATCACCAATCCTAACAAATTGTTCTCTTCCCGAGAAATAAGATTCAAACCATGAGTATGAGATTCCTCCGAAGCCATACATTTCTAGTTTTTTAAGCATTATTTTATGATTTACGCAATCAAAGGCTTTAGAGAAATCACAAAACACAACGGCGACAAGCTCGCTTTCATTAAGACTGACGATTACCTGTTCCAAAAGATTAAACATTGCATCATGGGTGCACTTTAATGGTTGGAATCCGAATTGAGTGTCACTTATTATGTTGTGTTTTGAAAAATATTTTAACATTCTTTCTTTAACTAACTTTTCAACTATTTTTGACAACGTGGAGAGAAGTGATATTGGTCGATAATTACATGGGTTGTC